TCCTAGCCAGGGCTTGGGTCTGGTGCTTGGGGGCTCCCGGGTGGCAATGTACGAGCTGGTCGTGGACGAGCTGACGGTGTTCCGGGCTAGCAACTTGGGCACGCAGGAGGGCTGCCACGTCACTTCCGTACACGCCGACGGCGTCACGCTGCTGGGCCATCTGGAGCAGCAGCACCAGCAGCTGCAGCACCAGCTGCAGCAGGCCGCGGCGGCCGCCACCGCGCGGGGCCAGCGGCCGCCGCCGCCAGCGGCGGCAGGTCATCAGAACGGTGTCACTTCCACCGCCCCTCCGCCGCGGCGGTCGCTCTCCGGCGGCGATCCACCGGCTTTGCATGCTATCTGCCTGGTCCATTGCCCCCCCGCCGGCGCGGCGGCGGACAGCAAACAGCCATCGTACATTGAATACGTGTGCGTGGAGGGCCGACGGCCACAGCCGCCGCCGCTCCAGGCAGCCGCGGTACGGCGCGGCGGCGCCGCCGCCACCGGTGCCGCTGATTGGGGCCCTCGCCGCATATCAGGTTCAGGTGCAATCAACGCGATTCCTTTTACGCAGCAGCAGCAGCAGCAGCAGCAGCTGCAGCTGCAGCAGCAGCAGCAGCAGCTGCAAGGAGATGATTCCGCCGCTGCGACGGCAATGCACTCAGTGCTGCTGCAGGGCGTGACTGTTGCGACAGATCACGGGTATGTGACGATGGACTGGGCGGTGCAGCTTGGGGAGCTGCTGGGGTCCCTGGCGGCGGCGGCGCCGGCGCCGGCGCCGGCTACGCCACCTGGGCCCGGCGGCGCCGCCAAGGGACACCTGGCAGTCAACGTCGTTGACTTGGCGTTGCGTCACGAGCCAATGGACTACCCCACCGCCGCCACCACTGCGCCTGGTGTTTTCGGCTGTACGGCACCGGGCAGTACGGGACCTGGCAGTACGGCACCGGGCAATGGGGGGCCCAGCAGTGGCCACGTGAGCGCCGTGGCCCTCGCGCTCATCATCGAGGCCATCCATTTGGGCCTGCCGCTGGGTGGTGCAGAGCAGGTGCCGTACACGCCTCCCGTACATACCGTCGTACTGCATTCCCTGACGCTGCACCTTGCCGCCGCCGACCAGCGCGGTCCGGGCTGGACCGCCGCCGACCCACGGGCCATACGGGAGCCGCTGCTGCAGGCTTGCGGCTACCACCGTGCCCTCCAGGTGCGAGTGTGGTGGTTTCGGAGTCAGGCGGCTCCGTGCTTAGACACTGTATTGTTATTGTACACTGTTCCACTCGAGTTTTCCACTCGAACAATAACACTGTTCCACTCGAATGGAACAGTGTACAACAACAATACAGGATTGTCCAATATTGTTCATGTGGACATAGTAGACATTATAGTCCACATTAACAACGTAGAAACAATCTCTGTATTGTTGAGAGGGTCTTGTTTACTAGAGCCTATTCATAATACTGAGGGATCGTCCGTCAAAACCTGAGAGGCGCCCATGTAAATTACACGGCCTCCTTACGTGCTGTGGTTTGTGCGCAGGAGGCCTCCATCAAGGTGGTGGCGAAGCAGCGCCGCTACCCCCGGCGGCCGAAGGAGGGCGTGTCCGTGCCGCCGTCTGACGTCAACGTCGCCGCCGCTGCTGCTGCTGCTGCTGCTGCAGCGGCGGCGGCGGCCGCTTTGGCGGCAGCGGCGGAGCCGCCTTCGGAACAGCAACAGCAACAACAACAACAGGTACAGCAGCAACACGTACAGCAGCAAGGTGAATTTCACACGACGTTGGATGTGGAGGTTACCAATCAGCACCTGCTGGGGATGCTGACGGTGGAATCGGCGACGCTGTTGGCGCACTTTGCGATGCAGGTAACAATAGAGAAGAAGGCCAGGGGAGGAAAATGGGGTAGGGGTGGGGTGGGATGGGAAACTTAGTTATAAATGGCGAATGCAAGCAAAGCCAATGGCAATGTCCAAAATCCCGTGATTGAAGATGCTTTAATTCATAAATGCGACGATAATACGATTCTGTGTAGTATTTCATATCATGTGCTTTATGTAATGTGTTATTTCGTGTTTTACCATGTTCCTTTTCCTTACCCAACCTCACCAGACGGGTACTTTGATGACGGCACGTCAAGCCGCCGCGGCCGCGGCCGCGGCGTTACCGCGCCGCTGCGGCGACGCCGGCGGTCGTACAACGGATCTGTACTGGGACGCGGCAGCGTCAGAGAATGGCGCCTCCACTGTCAACCCCGGCGGCGGCGGCGGCGGCAGCGGCACTTGCGGCCACTCAGAGGCCGGCGGCGACGCGGCGGGGTCGCTCCTAACGGCGCTGCTGTTGGAGGAAGTGGAGGAGAACGCGTTTCGGTGGCCGCCACCGGCGGCGGCGACGGCGGCAGCCGGCGGTGTGGCGGGCGCGCCAGGCGACGGCGAGGGCGCGGCGGCGGCGGCGGCTGGTGCAGTGGGAGGGGGCTGGTGAGTTCGTGCATGAGGATTTTATTCCGTCATTTAAACAATTTAAATAATTTAATTAATTTATTTATTTAAAGAAATAATTTTTTGTTTTATATGTTTGTTTTTATTTATTTGTTTTTATTTTACCGAGGCTCCGTTCGGGACGGAAGGCCCAAGGAGGGCAGGTAATGACGAAGAATTTGAACGAAAAGAACGTTAACCGGAAGACATGAAGCTTTGGAGAGAAAACTGAAGCTCGGACTCACAAAAGATTGAACCATGTGGGCGAAAAGGAGGTGATGGCGGGGGGCCCGAATTCTGGAGCCAGGACAAAAAGACAACCCCCACCCCCCACCCGAACCACCCCCCACCCGAACCACCCCCCACCCGAACCACCTAACTGCGGCCGCAGGTACCCACGAGCAACCCCTGGTGGTCATGGTGATGCCGCCTCCGGCGCCGCCACCGCCACCGC